TGTTTATTTACTATAAATGTTGGGCTTGTATGTTTACTATTGCTTTCTTGTATATATCCTTTTTCTAGTAATTCACTTATATGTATCTTAAATTCTGTTAAATCATTAAAATTATATTTTAATGGTTTTTGGGTTATTATACTATTATTATCAATTAGCTCAATTTTTACTTTTGTTTTATGTTTTTCCCATCCTTGTAAAGGATCTTCACTATATAATAATTCTAACTTATCTTGGATTATTTTTACTTTATCTATAGAGAATATAATTAATTCTATTTTAGAGTCTTCTTCTTTTATATTTTCTAATTTTTGTGTAATTTTTCACTTCCTTTTATCCATTCTGTTGTTTTTCGTCTTTTGTTATTTACTCTTTTTGCTCCTATTTTTTGTTTACATGGTGTTGTGAACCACCAGTGTGTTTTTGTTATTATATGTGGGTATAATTTTTCTAAAAATGGCATTCCTAATAGCATATCTTTTGTGGTCAATTCAAAGTTATATATTTCTTCTATATTTAATATCTTATCCCATATTTGTATTTTTATATTTTTTGTCTTATATGTGATCATGTTTCCTTCATTATTAAATCTCGTTACTACTATCGGTGTTTTTAATTTTTCCCATTTACCTTCAGGTAAGCAATTGTATTTACATATGTTAGCTTCTGCTCCTGTGTCTATCATTGGTGTATAATATCTGTTGTAATATCCTTCCATTATCATTTTTGCAAGTATATATATTTTCATGTTTTTATCATAAGAAAGTTCTTTTTATTATTATCTTCTTATTATTATAATTTATTGTTAACTGTTTGTCTTCTAAATTATATGGTTTTACTTGTTCTAACCATTTTATTCCTAAAATGATATTTTTATCTCCTTGATATACTTTAAACTTTATTACTATTGGTACTCCTCCAATGATCATTTCCTTTTCTGTAGTTTCTTCGGTATATATTAATGCCTTTGGTAGTTCAGGGCATAATTGTTCTGTAGTAATTATTTCATCTTTTGTTACTAATTCCCTTGTAATGTAGTTTTCTTCTTGTCCTGTATTTATCAATATTAGATATTCTCGTTGTTCCATTACTCCCGTTATGTGGTAATGATATAGTTTTATTTCTTCTTCTATTGATTTTTGTGGAGTTTTATCCATTCTTCTTGAGGTACTCATTTTTTATGATATTTGGGGTATTTCATAGTTTATTCTTTTTTATGTGCTTAATCTTTCTTTTACTTTTTCTAAATCTTCTTCTATATCAATCTCATTATAACTATAATCATTATTATCTATGACTATAACTATCCTTTCAAAAGGACTTTCTATTTTTATTTATTTTATTTTATTTTTTGTTGTTATTTTATGTTTTGTTGTTAAAACATATAAATTTTTACATCTAGCTGTAAATATTTTACTTCCTGGGACTAGTTCTATCCCTGAAATTTTCCAATATAATACAAGTGATTTATCTATGTTTCTGTCATTTATTGCTACTGAGTAGTTAGCACTTATTATAAATTTAAATTTTTGGTATATGAGGCTACATTTTACTGCACTTATTATACTTTTTTCTATGGGTTGTATAATTCTATCATCCGCTAAGTATATTTCTATAGGTGTATCTATTCCTTCTCTAAAACATGCTTTTATTAGTATTTCTGTTCCTCCTAAATGTACATATTTAATTGGATTTTTAGCCTAATATCTTGTATTTCTTTATTTATTATTCGTTTGTTTACTATTGGGTAAGCTACAACCCAAGTTCCACGGACCACTTCACGGTCGGTGGCCTAGACCACAGCCCGTAGAAGTGGCCGTGAAGGTTACTTCGCCTGGTGGAGGCTTGGCAACAAAATGGAGCTACTGGCTAGAGGACCACGGGCCTTGGTCCTCCTTCATAAACCATCAATGTTCCCTTGGTCTCTAACGGGACTGCCAAAATTAAGGGTTTTTAAGTAATTTTGTTTTAATGTTAATTTATGTGGGATTGATTTTAAATGGTTTATATCATGAATATAAATAGTTTTAACTCTTAAAACACTTCATTTACTCCTTATTTCTCCAAGACCAACCCCCCCCCCCCCAAAGTTCTTCTCTCTATATTTTTCTCTGAAACTCAAGGAAGAAGAAGAAGTGGGAGCTAGGGTTTGGATTCAAAGCTTTCTTCATCAAATTTCTTGGTGAAATCTTAGTAAAAGGTATGGTCATCCTCATCTAGGGTTAGTCTTCACCCTAGAGTCAATTTCTAAGAAATTTTCAAAGCTTTTCAAATTCCTGAAAACCAAGGGTTTTACTCAATCTCATGGGTTCTTCTTCCAAATGATTTCAAATGGTTTCTAATGTTATATATTGATTGTATTTGTATTTAATTTATGATTTTTGGTGAAAATACTCCATGAACCCATGATTACTCTAAAGTCCTAAATTGTGCTTTTATGAACTGGGTTTGATGATTATGAAAGCTTATGATTGAAATATGCCTTAACTGCTTTGGGTTATTGGATTCTATCATTATATATGTCTTAATTTTGGTAAATTATTCGTGTATTTAGGATTTGTAATCATGGCCTTGAAAGGGGAAAGTTGTGATCTAATTACAAGTTAAAGTAGAATTGTTGATGAATTGTTGATCCACTTGAAAGGGGAGGTGTTTACTTACCTTGTATATTGATCCACTTGAAAGGTGGTGGTGTTTCCTTATTATGTACATTGTGATCATGGCCTTGAAGACATAGTATGATAAGTTGAAGTGTTATCATGATCATGTATGTATGAATGGGAGTTCAATGAAACTATTGTGATCATGTTTTGAATGTAAATGTGTTATTATTGAATGGCTATTTTCGAAATGTGACACTTATGAATGTTGATGATAGAATATGAAGGGCTCTTCAATATATGGTATATCTTGAATTGGTAGAGCTTATGCATCCTCCTCTTGTATAAATGAGTGTATTGTTGATTGTTGAATCCTTGGATAGGTAGGCTAGTATCACCCTTCCACACCTGTTAATAATCAACCTTGGGAATGGTAGGCCAAGGGAACCCTTCCACTAATGAAGGTTAACGATGAGCCTTGAACCGGTAGGCCTATGGCACCCTTTCAAGAGGAGTTAATGAGCTTTCCTAAATGTACCTTGAATCGATAGGTTTAAGGCACCCTTTCATGTGTTAATTAATTGGAGTCAGTTGTCCAATGGCACCTCTCATATGTGATAATGTCAAAGTAATGAACTATTCTATGGGAATGTAGGCTAAACACAAAGTGGGTTAGGTTAGATGGAATATCCCCCAAAGTTAGGCATGAGTTTCAATGATCCTCTACCTTATCCAATAAACTATGTGCCTGCATAGGTCTAGCTAGTGGATCCACCTAAGCTATATGAACCGGTCTTCTTTAGGCAAGTATACCACTTTTTTACGGTGTTGAGACTTATGACACCGAATTCCATGACAAGCTCTCATGGTCTATGTTGGTTAACGCTTACTTCCCATCATGTGAGATTTCATTGTGGCTCCTTGATAGGTTTTACAAAGTGTAGGTAGTAGTATGGGATGCTACCTATACATTACACAAGTAGGCTTTGAAAGGGTCATACTGAGTTTCTCTAAATCCTAATGGCTATGACATGAATGTGTCCTAAATGAAGTTATTAAACGATGTGTGCTCTTAAATGCTTAATATGATATGTATGCTATACTTGGGTTATATTATGAATTATTTTCCCTTGTCATGCCTTATGATATGATATGTGTGTTTTGTATGGATATTGTGCAAAGATGAAAAGGATGGAATGGTAAGTTCACTCTTGGTGGCCTTAATGTGGTGCCTTGGTGTGGATGGTGGTATGGGATTCCATCCATGCATTGCACAAGGTATAGCATAAGGGTCATTTAAAAGTGAAGGTCTGAGGTGAAGGTAAAGGTTTCCATGTTGATATTGTCAAGGTGTGATATTATGACTTGTATGATATTGTTACTTGTCTTGTATGTCTTTTCTCCTAATGCACAAGATATTTCTAAAGAGTGGCATAATGCATGGTTTCTAACCAAAAATGTTCCTTTCAAAGCATGTTTTTGCATGGTCATCATACTTGGTACATTTTTGTGTGCTAACCCATATTTCTACCTTTTTAATTACAAGTGTAGGTTCCGACAACCGATTGCTTCCATCTAGATTGAAGAGATTAGATTGAGTCTTCTCCAAGGCTAAGAGTGGTATGTCCTTATTGACCGAGGACAAGTGTCTTTTTGAAGTTTCCTTTTTTATTCATGTAATAGACAATTCAAGGGTTTTCGATTGTTATGGGTCGTGTCCCTACTTTACTTTTCAAGTGCATTGTTAAGATGGCCATGTGAGACTTAGTCTTCCGCCGTGTCTTTGAAAAATGTTTAAATGAGTATTTTGATGTTTTGGATTTAAATAAGTTTTTAATTCCGCACTATTTTCATTATTGAATGCAATGAATGACTAAGTGGTTGTTATAAGACCCCTTCGGGGTCGAGTACGCCATGTTATGACTAGTGGGTGCTCTCGGGTCGTGACAAACATGGTATTAGAGTATAAGATTTTGTAAATGGTTTTGGGATCAAAGTCTCACAAGCCACGTCTAGTAGGGTCTTGTTCATTGGTGTGAGTCACGACACATCTATGAGCGAGAGGCTATAGGACGTTAGAAAGTTACACTTATTTCATATTATTAAAGTCGTGCCTTAGAGTTTAGCTTTATAGATGTCCTTTTCCTAACCCTTGTCTTATGTTTATAGAATATGAATACAAGGGCTAACCCAAGAAGGATGGAAGAGGAGATTGTGAACGAGGGAGTTCCTCCCCAAGGTCTTCAAGGTCCTCAAGGCAATCAAGGAAATCAAGTTCCAATGGTTCCTCCATACATGGCCAATGAAGAGATTAGGGTGGCTTTTCTAACTCTAGCTCAAAACATGACGGTTTAAGCTAATCGAGATGTGGGACGTAGGGTGAATGCTAATGAGAGTACCATGGCCTCAACGTTGAGAGACTTTGTGAGAATGAGTCCTCCCACTTTTCTTGGCTCTAAAGTGGGAGAGGATCCCCAAGAGTTTCTAGATGAAGTTTATAAGATATTCCAAGCTATGGGGGTAACCTCTAGGGAGAAAGCGGAGTTGGCTTCCTTTCAACTCAAGGATGTTTCCCAAGTGTGGTTCACACAATGGAAACCCAATAGGCCTTTAGAAGCAGGTCCTATAGAATGGGAGGAGTTTAAGGGAGCTTTCCTTGGTAAGTACTTTCCCTGTGAGAAGAGGGAGTGTAAGGTTGAGTAGTTTATAAACCTTAGGCAAGGTGGCATGAATGTAGAGGAATATTCATTAAAGTTTACCCTATTGTCTAAGTATGCTCCATCATTGGTGTCCAACCATAGAGATGAGATGAGTAGGTTTGTGACCGGTGTATCCGACCAAGTCAAGGAAGAGTGCTATACGGCAATGCTCCATAATGACATGAACATTTCTAGGCTCATGGTGTATTCTCAATCCATTCAGGAGTCCAAACTTTAGAGGGTGAATAGGGATTTGAAGAGGGGTAGATCCGATGAGCAAGGTCAACCTAGGTTCAAGAAAAGGGCTCCAAACCAAGAATTTTCAGATGCTCCAAAGGTTAACCAAGAGAAAGGTGGTGGATCTCAATTTTCTAAACATACTCGCACCACTTGTGGCAAGAAGCACTATGGGAAGTGCCTAGCCGGTACTAATGGGTGCTATCGTTGTGGGAAAAATGATCACAAGGTGAAAGATTGTACTACTCTTATGGCTAGAAAAAGGGAGACTAAGCAAGCTTCTCTTAGTGGTCCGGATCTAGTTTCTCAAAAGAGGAACCGTTTCTATGCTCTCCAAGCTAACAAGAACAAAGAAGCTAATCCGGATGAAAGCACTGGTAAGTGATAGTTCCTTATGGTCATGAATGTCTGGATGAGGATCCTATGTTGTTTTTTATGTTATCCTTAGTTGGGTGTTCTCCTAAGTGAGGGATGGTATGTTGAATAGTAGGTTGTGGTGAGTTTTTATATCCTTATCTCTTTCCTCTTATTCCTATTCAAGCTTGAGAGCAAGAGTTCCTTGTAGCTTGTTTCATGTTTTGGAGTCTTTTATGAAAATAAGTTTCCATGGTCTCCTTACGTTATGCATGTTTTGATGAAATTTATGTGCATATGAGAAATTGAGCTTTAATGATTTTATTCCTCATGTTGATATGCATCTATGGTGGGTTGCCTAAATGCTTCATGAGTTGACTTGTTGTACATGGTTAAATGTGTTCCTGAAAATAGTTATATTAAGTGACTTATACTGTGGTAATGAGCATGATGTGATGCGGAGAAGGAATTTCCTCCAATGAAATGATAAATGCTAATGTTTCGTGCATAGTGATTTTGTAGTTGTAGTCCCTACTTTTTTTGTATTGCATCGAGCTTATTGATGTGGATTTGAAGTTTCATCCTACGGTATATGCATTATATTGATATGTCTTGATTGTTGGATTGCTAGTCTTGAGTCGTTACCCCTTTATGTATTTAAAGTGTCATTCGAGGACGAATGTTCCTAAGTGGGAGATAATGTAACGAATCGGAAAATTATAGGTTAAGCTAGAACCTAATGTGTGTGTGTGTGTCTGGGTTTGGAAAGGGATTTGATATGGTGTAACATTGTCCCGAGCTTTAGACTATGTTGTTAGAAGTCCCCTTTTGATGATGGTTAAGGGTTGCTAGGGCAGGTGCCAAGCCAAGGGAACAAGACTTTAGCCAAAGGACAAGGCTGCCGAACCTTGGCCAAGCACTGACTCATGACCACAGACCACTTCACGGTCAGTGACCTTGACCACGGTCCATTAAAGTGGCCGTGAAGGTCACTTGGTGGCATGGCAAGCAAGGCAGCTTAGGCAAGCAACTGCCCAAGTCCCATGGACCACTTCACGGCTGGTGGTCTTGACCACGGCCCGTAGAAGTGGTGGTGAAGGCTACTTGGCCTGGTGGAGGCTTGGCCACAAAATGAAGCTACTGCCTAGAGAACCATGTGCCGTGGTCCTCCTTCACGGACAGTCAAAGTTCCCTTGGTTCCTGACGGAGTTGCCAAAATTAAGGGTTTTTAAATAATTTTGTTTTAATGTTAATTTATGTGGGGTTGATTTTAAATGGTTTATATCATAAATATAAATAGTTTTAACTCTTAAAACACTTCCTTTACTCCTTATTTCTCCAAGAACTAAAATCAACCCCCCCCCCCCAAAGTTCTTCTCTCTATATAACTCTATAAAACTCAAGGAAGAAGAAGAAGTGGGAGCTAGGGTTTGGATTCAAAGCTTTCTTCAACAAATTTCTTGGGTAAATATTAGTAAAAGGTATGGTGATCCTTCATCAAGGGTTAGTCTTCACCCAAGAGTCAATTTCAAAGAAGTTTTCAAAGCTTTTTAACTTCCTGAAAACCAAGGGTTTTACTCAATCTCATGGGTTCTTCTTCCAAATGATTTCAAATGGCTTATAATGTCATATATTGATTATATTTGTATTTACTTGATGATTTATGGTGAAGATACTCCATGAACCCATTATTACTCTCAATTCCTAAATTGTGCTTTTATGAAGTGGGTTTGATGATTATGAAAGCTTATGATTGAAATATACCTTAATTGTTTTGGGTTATTGGATTGTATCATTATATATATATATATATATATATATATATATATATATCTTAATTATGGTAAATTGTTTGTGTATTGATGATTTGTAATCATATCCTTGAAAGGGGCAAGTTGTGACCTAATTAGAAGTTAAAGTAGAATTGTTTATGAATTGTTGATCCACTTGAAAGGGGAGGTGTTTACTTACCTTGTATATTGATCCACTTGGAAGGTGGTGGTGTTTCCTTATTATGTACATTGTGATCATGGCCTTGAAGGCATAGTATGATAAGTTGAAGTGTTATCATGATATTGTATGTATGAATGGGAGCTCAATGAAGCTATTGTGATCATGTTTTGAATGTAAATGTGTTATTATTAAATGGCTATTTTCAAAATGTGACACTTATGAATGTTGATGATAGAATATGAAAGGTTCTTTAATATATGGTATATCTCGAATTGGTAGAGCTTATGCATCCTCCTCTTATATAAATGAGTGTATTGTTGATTGTTGAATCCTTGGATGGGTAGGCTAGTATCACCCTTCCACACCTATTAATAATCAACCTTGGGAATGGTAGGCCAAGGGAACCCTTCTACTAATGAAGGTTAACGATGAGCCTTGAATTGGTAGGCCTATGGCACCCTTTCATGTGTTAATTAATTGGAGTCAGTTGGCCAATGGCACCTCTCATATGTGATAATGTCAAAGAAATGAACTATTGTATGGGAATGTAGGCTAAGCACCGAGTGGATTTGCTTAGATGGAAACTCCCCCAAAGTTCGGCATGAGTTTCAATGATCGTCTACCTTATCCAATATATTATGTTCCCTCATAGGTCTAGTTAGTAGATCCACCTAAGATATATGAACCGGTCTTCCTTAGGCAAGTAGACCACCTCTTTACGGTGTGGGGACTTATAACACCGGATTCTATAAGAAGCTCTAATGGTCTATGCCGTTTAACTCTTACTTCCCATCATTTGAGATTTCATTGTGGTTCCTTGATAAGTTCTACAAAGTGTAGGTAGTAGTATGGGATGCTACCTATACATTGCACGAGTAGGCTTTGAGAGGGTCATAGTGATTTTCTCTAAATCCTAATGGCTATGACATGAATGTGTCCTAAATGAAGTTATTAAAGAATGTGGGCTCTTAAATGCTTAATATGATATGTATGCTATACTTGGGTTATATTATGAGTTATTTTCCCTTGTCATGCCTTATGATATGATATGTCTATTTTATATGGATATTGTGCAAAGTTGAAAAGGAAGGAATGGTAAGTTCACTCTTGGTGGCTTTAATGTGGTGCCTTGGTGTGGATGGTGGTATGGGACGCCATCCATGCATTGCACAAGGTATAGCATAAGGGTCATTTAAAAGTGAAGGTTTTAGGTGAAGGTAAAGGTTTCCATGTTGATATTGTCAAGGTATGATATTATGAATTGTATGATGTGTTACTTGTCTTGTATGTCTTTTGTGCTATTGTACATGATGTTTCTAAAAAGTGGCATAGTGCATGGTTTCTAATAGAATATTTTTTTGTACTAACCCATATTTCTAACTTTTTAATTACAAGTGTAGGTTACGGCAAGTGATTGCTTCCATCTAGATTGAAGAGCTTGGATTGAGTCTTCTCCAAAGCTAAGAGTGGTATGTCCTCATTGACCGAGGACAAGTGTCCTTTTTAAATTTCCTATTTTAGTCATGTAATAGACAATTCAAGTGTTTTGGATTATTATGGGTTGTGTCCCTACTTTAGTTTCCAAGTGCATTGTTAAGATGGCCATGTGAGACTTAGTCTTCCGTTGTGTCTTTGAAAGATGTATAAATGAGTATTTTGATGTTTTACATTTAAATAAGTTTTTAATTCTGCACTATTCTCATTATTGAATGCAATGAATGACTATGTGGCTGGTATAAGACCCTTTCAGGCTCGAGTACGCCATGTTACGACTAGGGGGTGCTCTCGTGTCGTGACACTGGAGGTGGTGCTAGTGGAGCTGGTAGAGTTGTATTTTGAGCTATAACGATTCATCTATGCACATGTCAATATTTGGCCTAATTATCCAACTCCGCACAATCAAAACTACCAGATGATGATCTGCTCCCAAGATAACAACCACCACAGCCTGAACTACTAGACTGAGGCTCATGACTCTTACTATAGCCATTGTTTCTCTGGCTATACCAGTCAACCTCTGAACTCTATAATGAGGCATGAACAGGTCGATTGGGATGACCTGGCTACAAGCGCTGCTGAGTCCTATCATGTGCATCTTTAGCCTTTGAATAGGACAAACTATATCTACCATCATATCTACCTCTCTTGTCATTGCCCCATTTGGCCTCACGATGGAGCTGCTCAATAGTGCAGGAGTTGTCAGCAACATCTTAAAAATAGGTGAGCCACAGAGACCATGGGATGAGTCTCAATCTGTAACTGCAGTCTTAACCCACAGACAAAGTATCAAACTCTCGCCTCCTCAGTAGGTAGAATCAAAGTAGCATGGCAAGAGAGCTCATAAAATATTGCCTCATACTAATACACAGTAAAACAAATGGGCTCTAATATAGAGAACTAATCCTTGAGATGATCTCTACCACTATGTGGGATGAACCTTGCAAAGAAAGCCTTAGAAAACTCGATCTAGGTGACCGGAGAAAGCTCAAATTGGCCTGGTCTCAGTAACGGTACACCACCATTACATGGCTGGCCCATCAAACTGATATGTAGTGAAGTCGGATCCTCTGGACTTCACTAGACCTAATTTAAGAAGTCACTCCAAGAAAGTTGTCAAAAGCTTGTGGGCATCCTTACCCACCACTCAAGAAAATTGTAATGACCTGGAAAACTATTAGGTGAACTAGAGCCATAACGTGAGGATCAACGTCAAGGTACGTGTTAGACTCCGTAGTTGAAGGATCTTTTAGGGTTTGGTATAGGGTTTCAAGGACATGTTTCAAGGCAAGGGGGGCAAGGCCTAGCCAAAAGCCAAGGCTAATCAACCTTTGACTAAGCACTGCCAGGCTTCACAACCACAGGTCTTGACCACTATCTGTGAAGGGGTCTGTGGAGACCATTTGGTCTATTTGGTCTATTAGGAGGTTATTTCTTGGAGCCTAGCTACTGCCTAAGGGACCATGAGCCACTTCACCGCCTGTGGTCATGACCATGGCGCAAGGAAAGGCTCGTGGTCATGCCTTAGTGTGCTGGGAGGTTAGCTTGCCAAGGGAAGCTACTGGTCAAGGGACCACGGGT